ACATGGAATAAGACTTGCCTTTTGGCTCAACTTGTAGTCGAGTAGTAGAAATACCTACAGGATGTACAATAACACCAGGAAGGTAGTCACTCTGGAAGAAACAACCACATTAGATTAAAAGGGAAACATTTTTATAAAGGAAAAACTCAGAAGGCAGGCAGAAGAAATAGGATAGAAGGATTAATGTAAATGAAAATCGTGGGGAGGGTGCTGTCAAAGTGTAGATCTTGATATTAACATCATAAACAAAATATGTATGAGCAGTTGAATAGAAAACCAATTAGCTTTGTAAACTTTCATTCAAATAACAATAAAACTTAAAAAGAAACTACATATTCCAAAGGTCTATTTCATGTATTGATGTAATAGTTATGTGACCCTGGATGAGTCATTCATCATTTCTGAGCCTTAGTTAGGAAAAACAAGTAAGAAAATTCATTTGCCGTGTTAAATATTATCTTTAAGAAGTCATTGATAAAACTGATCTCACCATTCTAAATCTGAATTCTCTTATTTTTAATATATATAATATGTAATATCTATATCTCTATATCTACATATCTGGTGGCCTAGTGGCAAGAAGCTGTGATGCAATCCTGAAGGTATGTGGTTCGTGGCCACTAGCCGCTCTGCTGGAGAAGGATGGACAATCTCCCATGCAATTAACTGCCTCTGTAAATCCACTGGAGGGTCAGCTATGGGTCGGTTCCAACTCAATGATAAATAATAACATACTTTACTATATCTACTTTCTATATAGAGTATATAGTATATCTACTCTCTATATTAATATTACATGCAAGTAAGATTCTGATGAAGATTATCTAAAAACAACTAGAACATCTTATCAACAGAGAACTCCCAGAAGTGAAGGCTGGGTTTATTAGAGGTCATGGTACTAGGGGAGATTGTAGCTAATGTTAGATGGATCTTGGCTGAAAGCAGGGAGTACCAGAGGAATGTCTCTTTTTCTTTCAGTGACTATGCAAAGGTGTTGGACTGTGTGGACCACAACAAACTGTGGCTAACTCTGAGAATAATGGGAATCCCAGAACACTTCATCATGCTCATGCAAAAGCTATACTGGAACCAGGAGGCAGTCATCAGAACAGAGCAACAGAACACTGCATGGTTCAAAATTAGGAAGCGTGTATGCCAGGTATGTGTCCTATCTCCACACCTTTTCAATCTATATGCAGAACAGATTATCCAGGAGGCTGGGCTCTATGAGGAGAAACGTGGCATCAGGATTGGAGGAAGACTTATCAACAATCTGCGTTATGCAGATGACACAACCCTGCTTGTTCAAACTGAGGAGGACCTGAAGAACTTGCTGCAAAAGATCAAGGACTGTAATGTTCAATACCGATTGAAACTCAATATCAAGAAAACAAAGATTCTCACCACTGAGCTGATCAGCAGCATCATGGTGAATGGTGAAGAGATTGAGACTGTAAACAGTTTTAGTTTGCTTCTTTCCACAATCAACACTCTTGTGACCAGCAGCCAGGAAATTAAAAGATGTGTTGCACTGGCAAAGTCTGCTGTCAGAAACCTCTTCAAAGCACTGAAGAGCAATGACATCAGTATGGAGACTAAGGTGAGCCTGATATGGGCCATGGTCTTTGCAATCACTTGCTATGCATCAGAGATCTGGATAATGATTAGGAATGGTAGAAGGAGAATTGATGCCTCTGAGCTGTGGTGCTGGAGAAGAGTATTGAATATATCCTGAACTGCTAAGAGAATGCACAGATTTGTCCTAGAGAGGAAGGGAACAGGCTTCTCCTTGGAGGCAAGGATTCTGAAGCTTCATCTGACATACCGTGGACATGTTGCAACAGAGACCAGTCGTTGGGAGAGATACATCATGCTTGGAAGGGTGAAGGGACAGTGCATGAGAGGAAGACCCTTGATAAGATGGATTGATTCAGTGACTTAGGTAATGAGGTTAGGCATGTCAGAGACAAATAAGAATGGCACAGGATAGAGCACAGTTTAGGGCTGTTGTACATGGGCTTTATGAGTCACAGGAGACTCAACAGCACATAACAATAACAACAACAAAAACAACAACATATATAGGGTGCAGAGTATGTTTACTCAACCATATCCTTATCTCTATATTATGTAGCATTATTGATGTTGAGTATTATCGAGTCAGAACCGACCTATAGCTGGCCCTTTAGCGGGTTTTCAGAGGCTGGTAATTGCACAGGAGAAGATTGCTCATCATCCAAGTATGTAAATCTATTGTGTAAGGCACTGATAGGGAGCTCAGGTGTAGTCAGGCATGTGTTATGCTGCTAATCCAAAGACTGCCTGTCTCTGGAAGTTTGAGTTCACCAGTGACTTTGTGGGAGGAAGATAGGTAATCTCTTCCCACTAAGGGACTTACAGCCATGGAAACTTAATCGGAGGGTGGCTGAGTGTTGGAATCAAATCAATAACAGTGAGATTTTTTTAAGGCACTGGGAGTAAACTGGTCCCTGTCCACAATGATCATGGCCAGTCATCATAATGAGAGGTCCCTAATAGTAGGACCAAGTTAATTCTTAACTGATTATCCACACCTTCCATGGCCAAAATTCTGTGGGCAGTTGTCCAAGGCTGTTCCCTCTGACAGAGCCACATTATCAGGGTCATGACTGTTCAGTATAAACCCTAAACCTGATGCTATGGAGAGAGACCCTAAGTCACATACCTTGGGCCAGGAGGTCATGAGGACATGAGCCAAGTGGGCCCTTGGTCATCTGAACATGAGCTTAAATCTGTTTCTGCACTGTCAGTGATGACCCCATGACTCACTCTCATGGAAAACTCGTCCTACCTCAGATTTTCATCACATTTCTGGCACTTACCCAGGGAGATTTTCTCTCCAGAGTCTGCAGGCAGCAGAAACACCAGCAGAGCCAGGGCAGAGATGAGTACACAGGGGATGAGCAAGTTGAGGCCATAGTAGAGGGTCCTGCGCCGTATGGTCACCGTGAAAGTAACATCTGGATATGGCTCTTTGCAACAGTCATAGAACTTTTCATTCCTCTTGCCTGGGATTCCTCCATGGATAGGAGCAGAAAGAAAAACAAAACAAACAAACAAACAAAAAACAAAAAACCCCAGCATTTGAATAAAAACACTTTATTTTAATGTGTACACCACACAAAAACACACTAATGGAGCTCACTGGGGATGAAGAAGTGGGTAATCGGTGGTCACTGGATTATTATAGAGTTGTTGAAGAGTTGGTGATACATGAGTCAATTGATTAGTGTATTAGGGATTGGATATATATGCTACAAATAAAGTAGAAGAATACAAATTTGTAAATGCAACATCATTTACATTTATTTATTACCTTTTTATTGGAAATTATCAAATTAAGGTCTCCAACTGACATTTGTTATCCAGCCTTGTTCTAGGAATGGTGTTTCCTGGGGCATTGGGGCTGCTGGATGATGCAAATAGGTAATATGAAGTTGGCTGAAAACTGAGAATTGGAGGCTAGAATCTACCCAGACGTTCCTTGGGATAATTAGCCACTTGAAACCTCGTGAAGCATGATTATACTGAGTGCACCAGAATCAACTTGATTACAACTGATTGTTAGCTGGGGTCCCCCTCCCCATTTCTTCCTTTGTTTTTTTTATATTCCAATCACTTGTTTAAAGTCAATTCTCACCATAACCACACACAGCTCATAAAAAGCATTGGCTTTTTTATTCTTTTTATCCTTCCTGCCCTAGAGGTCTCTATAAATAATGGAAAATATTAACGAGCTCAATAAACAGTCACGCTGAAAAGCAAGGTTAAAAAAAATCCAACTTTTAAAGCAAGCACATGAATAAAGATGCTTCATCTCGGGCCATTTCCCTGATTTATTTACTGTCAATCTCCAAATGATCAGAACGCAAGAGTCTTACCCACAAGATCCCATTCTCCATTTGGGATGTAGCCGCTGATGTCCGCCTCCTGCATCTGCAAATCCAGGGACCACCCTCCGTAAGACCAGGACCCAAACTTGAGTTTGCACTGCTGCATGTCGAAGGGGAACCAGCGAACATCAATGTAGCAGGAGCTCTTGAATATTCCTGAGTAGTCAATGAAATGGTCAGAAGGCCACCCTGAAGCTGAAGGAAGAATGTCTGAAATGCAGGCCACCCTTGCTAGTATGCTCCCACACTGCTTATCAGATGTAGTTCCTGCTCTGCAGGGGATTAACACATGCTGGCCAGATAATGTGCCTGGAGAGCTACAGGTCACATCATGTGTGAGATTCTGCATTTCTTTTCCATGATTTATGCTTTGTGCACACAATTCTTTCCCTATCACCCCCACTTCCAGATGTTATAAAACTTGAGTGGACACAGTTCTGGAAACACTTCTGGCTAGGGTGCCAGCCTACAGGCTTTCAGATGACCTTCAAAATGCAGCTAAGCTTCTGAAGAAAAAAAGCAGGCTGAGTACATTTTGGAAAATTTCTAGAAAGGCAATTCAGTAAAAATTTCACTGTCTTTTAAAATTTAAACACAACATTGACATATTCCATAAAGTACAGAGGAAAAACACTGTGTTCACCATTTTCTATGCAAAAAGAATTACAAAAAACAAAAGAAAACGTCCCAGACCTCAAACTAGTTGTTTTTGAGTTGGAATCAACAAATATCTAACCCTCCTGTGAGTTTTTAGAGGCTATAAATCACACAGGAGGAAAGTGTCTATTTTTCTCCAGAGAAGAGACTCCAGTGGACTTGGAACCACCAGAGAGGCACACCTGTGGGTTAGCAGTGCAACTCTACTGATTATGCCACTAGAGTCTACCTTAAATTTAGAGTTTCTCAGTCTGTAAACCCATGTGCATTCTAGTTGAAGAAGAGAACAATGGTTTACAATGACGCTATATTGTTTAAGCACAAGGAAGAATTTCCACTAAAAAGATACGTTCCAGGTTTGAACAAGTTTTAAATGAGTTTCCCAGAGGAGCCAACAGAACAAACCCATTTCTCCCTGCCTTGGGAATTACTGGAAAATACAGAAAGTGAGGCTGTGTCTGTGTTCATGGGACATAGGAGACCCTCCATGAACCTCTCCTACTGAATTAAAGGAAAAGTAAGTGGAGGAAAGGGCAGAAACAGCTCACTGGTTTTGCAGACATGAATCCCATAGCCGAGCTGAGAAGATAATAAGAATGTTGACCCTCCAGTTCCTTTAAGTACAATTTTAGAGTGTTACAAATCTAAGGAGCCATAGTGACACAGTAATTAGATGCTCAGCTGCAAACCAAAAGGTTGGCAGTTTGAACTCACCAACAGCTCTGTGAGAGAAAGATATGAGAGTAATTTTGAAGATGGAATACATGATCCTTTAACCTTACAATTCTGCAACTAACAGTGAAGGACATTTAAATGAATTTAGTAAGTCAACCTGGCAGTGCTCTAATATAATTGTTGTTGTTGTTGTTATGTGCCGTTCAGTTGCTTGAGACTCATAGCCACCCTATGTACAACAGCCCTAAATCCTACTCTAGCCTGTATCAATCGCACTGCCTCTGACACACCCATCCCAATTACCCCAGTCACTGAATCAATCAACCTCATAGAGAGTCTTCCCCTCCCAAACATGATGTCCCTCTCCAAAGACCTGTCCCTCCTTAGAACGTATCCAAAGTATGTCAGACAAAGCCCCAGAATTCTTGCCTCCAAGGAGCAGCCCAGTTTACCCTCTCCAGGATGAATCTGTTTGTTTTCCTAGCAGTCCATGGTACATTCAATACTCTTCTCCAGCACCACAGCTCAAAGGCATCAATTCTCCTTCTATCCTTCCTAGCCATTGTCCAACTCTCTGATACATAACAAGTGATTGCAAAGACCATGGCCTGTATCAGACGCACTTCAGTCTCCAGAGTGACACCATTGCTCTTCAGTACCCTGGAGAGGTCCCTAACAGCAGACTTTCCCATGGCAATGCGTCTTTTAATTTCCTGGTTACTGGTGCCAAGAGTGTTGACCATGGAGCCAAGCAGACTAAAGTTGTTAACAATCTCAATCTCTTCACCATCTATACTGACGCTGCCAATTGGTCCAGTGGTGAGAATCTTTGTCTTCTTGACATTGAGCCTCAGTCCATACTGAAGGGTGCAGTCCTTGACCTTCTGCAGCAAGCACTTCAGGTCCTCCTCAGTTTCAGCAAGCAGGGTGTGTCATCTGCATAACGCAGACTGTGGTATTAAGAACTCACCAAAACATCTTCTACCATCCTGACACCACATTCCTACTCACAGAGCCCAGCCTCTCGGATAATCTGTTCTGCATACAGGTTGAAAACGTATAGAGGTGGGACACATCCCTGGCGTACACCCTTTCCAATTTTGAACCATGCAGTGTTTCCTTGCTCTGTTCTGATGACTGCCTCTTGGTTCAAGTATAAATTTTGCATTAGCACCATCAAATGTTCTGTGATTCCCATTCTTCTCAGAGTCAGCCACAATTTGTTATGGTCCACACAGTCAAACGCCTTTGCATGATCAATGAAAAACAGATAGACATTCTTTTGGTATGCCCTGCTTTCAGCTAAGATCCATCTAACATCAGCTACAATATCCCTAATACCACGACCCCTTCTAAGCCCAGCCTGGACTTCTGGCAGTTCTCAGTTCTCTGCTGATGTGCTGTTCCAGTTGTTTTGGATAATCTTCAGTAGAATCTTCCTTGTATGTGAAATCAATGATATTGTTCTATAGTTTCCACACTCTTTTGGGTCACCCTTCTTTGAAATGGGAACAAATATAGATCTCTTCCAGTCAGTTGGCCAAGAGGTTGCTTTCCAGATTTCTTGGCACAACTTGATGAGCACATCTAGGGCAGCATCTGTTAACTAAAATATGTCAGTTGGTATACCATCTATTCCTGGCACCTTATTTTTTACTATTTCTTTCAAAGCAGCTTGTACTTCTTCCTTCATCACCATAGGCTCATATATTATTTCATTAAATTCTTCTGTGTCTGCCAATTCCTTTTGATATAGTGACTGAGTATATTTTTCTTTTAATACTTCTTGGATCATTTAATATTCTGCCTAAATCATCCTTGATTATAGCTACTGGAGGTTTGAATTTGTTCTCTAATGTAGGATAAAAGAAAATGGGTCTTACCTGGAGGGAGGTACTGGCAGTGTCCAGAGGAATTCACCAAAACATTAGTGTGGAATGTAGCATCAAATCGCTCATCAGCACTAGAAACAACAAAAGCATTCCACTCATCAGTGTTATCAAGCAGAGTATTATTTGGTGCTTGGTCATGACTGAGCAGTGAGGAGTAGGAGAGTCTTCCCTCCGGACTCTTGACTGGAGGAGACAAGCAGCTTGGGTACAGTTATTGCAGCACCTTTCTAGGTCCAGAGACCTACTCAAAGCTCACCTCGTTGTTATGTGCCATTGAGTCATCTGTGACTCATAGCGATGCTCTCTGTACAACAGCTCTGAACCCTGTCCTATCCTGAGCCAGTCCTACTGACTCTGACACACCTACTCCCATTATTCCAGTTACCATGTTAATCCATCTCATCTGGAATCGTCCTCTCCTGTGCTGTCTTTCCACTCTCACAAGTATACTTCTCCAAGGACTGGTCATACAAACAGCCTATTCATATAGGAACTCTTTTTTTCCATATGTACATATAAAGCAAGTCTATCAATTGAAATTATTTCCTTGGAGAGGGACATCATACTTAGGAGGCTGTGAAGGAATAGCACAGGAGAGGAAGACCCTGGGTGAGATGGATTGACTCAGTGATTGGAGTAATGGGCATAAGTCAGATATAATAAGGCTGGCACAGGATAGAACAGAGGGTTCAGAGAGTCGCAAGTCACTCAAAAGCACAGAGCAACAACAGCAATAACTAATAAAAAATGAATTAGGATAATTCCGGAAGATAAGAAATATCAATATATATTTAAGAGGTAAGGAGCCACAGGATAAGGGCAGTAGTGATCCTAGTAGCAGGACTCTAACCGTTTACATGGAAGAGGCTAGTTAAATTTCTAGTCTGTGCACATATACCACATGTCTTTCAAGACAGGCTAAATGTTGTTATGATATTGAAAAGGTTTTCACAGAGCTTTCAGACATTGACAGGTTAGCAAAAAGGCCTAGCAATCTACTTTTTCTAAAAAATATTTTTTTTTAAATTTTATGCTGGTTTGCTTATAAAGTTCATATACATTGTATTTCACACTGGATCTTTCCTTTTAAAAATCAACCAATAGTAACTTTGTGGTTCACACTAGTATAATCTACAACTCATCATAGGGATGGTGTAGGATCAGACAGGATTTTGAGTTTTATTCTGGTGTCTATTATTATGTTTGCTATGTAACTGAGTACCGTTTAATTTAGGAGGCTCTCATAACACTATTTCATATAATGCTTTGTTGTGATCCATACAGTTTTCATCAGCAGACTGTAGGAAACAGACTTAAAGGCCTTTAGTAATAGTTTGCCTAGGAGCTTTGCTAAAACCTGTCCAGCATGAGTGAACATGTTAGTGTTTGGAATACTGATGGTACATCTTCCAATATTCCAAAACGCATAAGCCATCACATAACAACAAACAAATTAGTGGTAGTTTTAATGTCTTAGCCCATTTAGACAGAAAACTCAAAATCAGAAGGTTTTGAGGACAGTATGTAAAGAAAAAATTATCCAAAAATAAATACTAGAAATTGTTGTTGTTGTTGTTGTGTACCGACCCATAGTTGACCCTCCAATGGGGTTTCTGAGGCAATGTATTTCATGGGAGGAGATTGCCCATCCTTCTCCCACGGAACAGCCGATGGCCTCAAACCACGTGCCTTTGGGATTGAAGAGCAGCTTCTTGCCACTAGGCTACCAGAACATGCCTCTGGAAACTCTATGAACTTTGATAAATGTTGATAGTTGTAGAAGGGCTTCAGGCCTTTATTCATAGGGTTGTTATGAGTTGTGCTTGACTCAGTGACAATCAACAA